CCGGTGGGGGTTTCTCAATACTTCGATATATTACCCCATGTGAATCAGACTCTGGAATGGTGGGAGGGACCTCTTCAACGATGACAGTTGCCTCTTGAACGGTGGGAGGGGACTCTCGAGGAATGATATGGGGGGCCTCTTCAACGATAGGAGTGGACTCTTGAGGGATGACAGGCGAGTCGGGCTTCTTCTTGCGGTGTCTTCGCACTATTGGGGTGTACGGAGACTTAATAGCACGTGCACGCTGTCTGATGCGTGAACTCTGTCGTGCAAGCATAACCCGACGTAAAGCATCCACTCTATCGGGCCGCTAAATAATTAAATACAAAAATCAGTAAATAAACAGACATGATCTTTAAACAGTGAAAACAAAGACAAATATGTTTCAAACTTGCATTGTATTCACCCAAGTCATTATTCTATCATAGTTCACAAAATGCATCAGATAACAAAGAAAAATATGTTTCAAACTAATACCCTGAAGTTAGTATTTGTCTTTGTTTTGTCTATTGGTTGAAGTAATGCAATCCATTCAAGTTTCAATTTGCAGAAGAAGAAGAAATAGTTTACTTTCGCAACACGAAACTTAAAATCGCAACGCGAAACCAAAATCGCAACGCGAAATGAAAATCGCAACGACAGAATCGCAATGCGAAATGAAAATCGCAACGAAAGAATCGCAACGCGAAATGAAAATCGCAATGCGATTTTGGTTTCGCGTTGCGATCTTGTCGTTGCGATTTTGGTTTCGCGTTGCGATTCTGTCGTTGCGATTTTCATTTCGCGTTGCGATTTTGGTTTCGCGTTGCGATTTTAAGTTTCGTGTTGCGAAAGTAAACTATTTCTTCTTCTGCAAATTGAAACTTGAATGGATAAATTTACTTTCAACCAAAAGACAAAACAAAGACAAATACTATTTCACAGTGTTAAAGAATACACAGTTTAGCAGAATTGGCAGCAACCGAACAAATTTACTTTCAACCAAAAGACAAACAAAGACAAATACTATTTCACAGTGTTAAAGAATACACAGTTTAGCAGAATTGGCAGCAACCGAACAAATTTACTTTCAACCAAAAGACAAAACAAAGACAAATACTATTTCACAGTGTTAAAGAATACACAGTTTAGCAGAATTGGCAGCAACCGAACAAATTTACTTTCAACCAAAAGACAAAACAAAGACAAATATATTTCACAGTGTTAAAGAATACACAGTTTAGCAGAATTGGCAGCAACCGAACAAATTTACTTTCAACCAAAAGACAAAACAAAGACAAATACTATTTCACAGTGTTAAAGAATACACAGTTTAGCAGAATTGGCAGCAACCGAACAAATTTACTAAGCAATCTAAGTGAAATGGCTAATCTAAGTGAAATTACGAGTAAATTTATCATTAAGTTAAATATGGAAAATCTTAAACTTACCTCGTTGCGTAGAGTATGAACCTCATTCTGCAACGATACTATCATCTCACGTAGAGCGGCAACCTCACCACGTAAAGTTGACACCTCCACACGCCATGCACCATCGTTATCGCGTAGAGTACCGATCTCCTCACGCAAGGCATTGACCTCATCACGTAACTCCCTTGACTCATCCCGTTGAGGTGGAGGTGGAGAACAGGGAGATAGGAGTCGTGGCATCTTTGCCGGTCGCCTATCATGAGGTGATGGTGGAGAAGAGGCTCGATGATGTGACGGGATAGGTGATGGCTCTCGTTCTAGAGATGTATAGTCGGGTCGATCGGGTGATGGCTCTAGGTGAGGTGATGGCTCTCGAATTGGAGGAAGTGGATGCTGCTCATCATCCGTGCCATCAAAAAAATTCTGACTAGCTTGCCACCAATCAGTGGCAAGCTCTTCCTCCGTGGGTGTCAGTCTTTGTAATGGAATGTTGGCCTCCTAAAATATAAAAACTCAAACAAAGTTAAACGTCTACTATTAATAACTTGTTTATATATTATATGAAAGTATTTGTGTTAACTTACATTATTTATTGTGGCATATGGTATTAAGTCTTCCCAATCCAACAGAGTTTTCCTCTTCCAGGAAATAGCCCTGGGAATATCATTTGACGTTTTTATTGCATATGTACGCATGCTGGGGAAAGCCTCGAATATCCAAATCTACAAACAATATAATAACAAAATTAGTAATTGTTAAATAATTAATTATAATTTTAGAAACATTATATAGAAATTCTTACCTTAAAGGCCCAAACAAAGCCTGACAAAGTGTATTTGGACCCATCGCCCCGCAAACTTTTGCGGTCATCAAAGGCAGACGACAACTTAGTCCAGGTAGCTTTCCATATATACGAACCCCACGGAAACAGATTCCATGCATTCAGGTCCTCTACCAATATTATTAGCTCCCGATGAATAGGTTGTCTGGCCTCTCTGCCTAAAAAGCCGGCATACACAAGTAGTAGAAGGCATACTCGGACAACATCGACGTCTTCCATCCGAGTGAAACCAGCTTTCTTATTAAATAATTTCTTCAGGTCGTCGACATGTAGGTTCGGCTTCTCCATTGACTCATCCGGAAAAACCCGGGATAACCATGATGGGCGGGCGATATGACGAGTGTACCGGCCTACATCATCGTGTCCGAATCGTAGACCAGTGATTAAGCAGAACTCCTTCCGCCCAAAGCAAGTATACGCTGGTGGAAAATGAAACCATATCTCTTCCTCACCACGTTGTATACTGTCGGGTAGATTTGATGTCATGGTCTGAAGCCACAAATGGGTCAAATTAGCATCTCCACCCGGATGCTGTACTCTCAGCCATGGCCCGAAGCAGGTTTCCTCAAACAATTGTCTTTGAGCAGGTGAAAGCTTCTTTGCAATTGTAGTGGCCAGGCTGACTTTATTTCTCAAGGTCAATTGAGCCGAAAAAAATTTCTACAAAAACAATAAACATACCAAGTTAGATATACCAAAAACTACACTGTGAAGATATACCAAAAACAATAAACATAAAAAGTAGTAGTTTATTCTTTAAACTAAAATTTGCAACACTGTTTTGTCTTTTGGTTGAAATGAAAATCGCAACGAGAGAATCGCAACGCGAGATGACAATCGCAACGAGAGAATCGCAACGCGAAATGAAAATCGCAACGAGAGAATCGCAACGCGAAATGAAAATCGCAATGCGATTTTGGTTTCGCGTTGCGATTCTCTCGTTGCGATTTCCATTTCGCGTTGCGATTCTCTCGTTGCGACAGTCATTCTCTCGTTGCGATTTTCATTTATCTCGTTGCGATTCTTCTGCAAATTGAAACTTGAATGGATTGCATTACTTCAACCAAAAGACAGAACAAAGACAAAGACAAATACTAACTTGAAAATCGCAACGAGAGAATAGCAACGCGAAATGAAAATCGCAACGACAGAATCGTAACGCGAAATGAAATCTAAGTGAAATGGTTAATCTATTATTGAAATGACCAGTAAACTTATCATCAGTTTCAATATGAAAAACCTACAATAATGCAAACATTTCAAAATAAAAATAATTAAAAAAACTAACCCTCGGAGGTTGATTTTCCATTTCTGAATATTGTGAGGGATTTCTGACCGTGAATGGTTGTGAGGGATTTCGCCGGAGATGGGGACGGAAATCTTCGGAGATGGGGACGGATTTCTTCGCCGTAGAGAGTGAGAGATGGAGATGGGACTGAGTTGTGATTTTAGGTTTTAGGTTATGAGTTGCGATTACGGGATTTTGTCTTAATATTCTTTTTGTAATTTGAAAATAAAATACGCGTAGCGATTATAATGGCGCTTTAAATATCGCGTTGCGATTTACGGATACGCGTTGCGATTTTATGTATTATCGTTGCGATTTACGGATACGCGTTGCGATATACGGATACGCATTGCGATTTACCCATACGCGTTGCGATTTACGGATACACGTTGCGATTTACGGATACGCGTTGCGATTTATGTGTTCGCGTTGCGATTTTCATATTCGCGTTGCGATTTTGGAAAATCGCAATGCGAATTTGTACTATCGCATCGCGATTTTCAAGAATCGCGTTGCGATTTTGGAAACTGATTTGCGATTCTGGAAACTGATTTGCGATTCTGGGGATCGCGTTGCGATTTTTATTTCGCGTTGCGATTTTGTTGGTCATTTTGGCAAATCCAAAAAAAGTTGGTTAAAATCGTATATTATAACTTTTTTTTGGTCACTGAGGCGATTTTCTCTTTTTAAAATTATATAGAGTAAATGAAATTTCCACCAAGGTATTTTTCACGTGTCAAACAGTCCATGAATCTGCAAACTGCAAGTATCCACGTCGCACGTAAACAGACAATCAATCCTGAAATTCTTACATCAGTTTTCGTCAGAGAAATCCTAGTCCTCATGGGCCTTATCAGATTCCCCGAATCCCAGAGTGGCATCTTCAGTAATTTTTCCACAGGTTCTAACCTCTTTTTGTAATTTCACATTTATCTCCAGCCTTCGCAGATCACTCTTCCAATTCCTATAAATCGACGTTCGCCCCAATCTTTACCATTGTCGCGGTCGCAAATTCAAATTATTTTTTCTTCTGATCTTTGCATCTTTTCCTTCTTCTTTAAGTTGGTTCTCGCAGTGTTAATTCGTTTTATTCTCTTTCGTTTGATCCTAATTTCACCCACTCCCGTGTATCGAATTCGAATCTAGGGTTAGGGTTTTTATATTCTTCGATTTCCAAAAGGGGTTTCTTTGATCTATCAATTTTGACCTTGGATTTTGCTTTTTCCTGATTCCACTTATTTTGGGTCGGTCGAATATTTTCGGAGTTTCCTTAAATGTCGAAACTTTGTAGGGGTTGTTTTTATTAAAAAGAAGAATAATCTGTTTTTTCTTCCATTGTAAAATATTATAAAGAGCAAATTTGAAATTATTTATCTTTTTTTATTGTAAATCAATTTGAATGTATAAAATCATTTAATTGTATTTCCCTTTTCCTGCTTCTGTCGAATCTCTCAAATGATTGGTCAACGAATTTTCAGGTATGAACAAGCCTATATAGCTCAGTTAAGTAGAATATAGACCTGAACATTTTCATGTTTTTGCTTTAATTAATAATTTAAAATGTTTGCTTTTAAGTAATTCTGTAAAACGCGATTACATTCATACTATTTTGTACTTGTTGGTTGGCTGTTGCTTGTAGGGTACACGAAGAATTTTATATTAGAACGGGAACTTATAAGATTTTAGGAAGAATAAATTTATAAAATTTGGAGGCAAAAATAAATTATTAATAAAATTAAATATCTAAAATATATAAAAATTTGAAATTTTCAGCAACTGCCCCTATCCGCCTTTTCTGTCCATCGTGGTTACTATGGTAGTTAAAAGTTATGGTGATGAAAAGATTCTAATTTAGTATTATTAAATATTTGAATGTTTGTTGTTTACTGGCAGTCTAAATGATTCATAAATGCCCTTACATCGATGACTCTCAAGAGGTTGCGTGCAAGCAACCAAGGCAATGGGAAGATGCCGTCGACTTAGTTCCAGTTGTCAATGGTGTTCATCACAAAAGTTCTATCCCAGATCCTCAAATTTCTGGTATTAGAATGTTGAAACATCTATAATTCTTTTTGCATCATAGAGTACATGTTCTTGTGGACCTTGTGATACTGTACATGATATCATCAACGAGAACAGATACATAAGCATTTATTTCCAATTGCTAAACAAAAAAAGGTTGATTTTCCTTTAGTTCGTCGATTGAACATGTGGAAGGTGCATTTGATGAAGTTGCTTGTGGTTCTTAATTCTTATTATTAATTTGGTTGACATGCAGACAACTTTTGCAGATATTTGAGTTTATAGAAGCATTTTGGTACCCATTTCTTTATATTCTATGTATCTTGTACTGTGGTAGATTAATTGCTTGCATATGGTTCCTTTATCACATCTAATTATGTGCATCACCTTTATTGATACATTTTTCCAGTCAAATTAAAATCTAGAGTAAGTTACTGTATCTGATGGTTCCAATTTGAATAAGGTAAATGGGAGGACATTTACAGTAATTGCCAAGATAAAGGTAGTTTCGCTGAAGATCAATGTAACAATGTATTAACTGGAACCGGTAACGAACTTGAAAGTAGTACCTCTGGTTTTGTTTCTCATTTTTGGTGGGTAAACAGCACTGGGATAGATGCAAATGATGATCAAGAGGTGGCAGTTCATCTTCCGTTGTTTCCGGAATATTTTGTGTCGGGGCGCCGAATTCAGGATCTTCTTCATTCTAATGAGATCTATCAATCTATTCTTTCTCCTCGAATGCTAGTTTCTGTTGGACCAGAACATCAAGCTGATATCCCAGAATGGAGCCAACAGGATCCAAAGAACTCTACAGATTTTCTAGATATGTCAGATCCTCAAGTTGCCCTTAGATCATCATGTGCAGGCCTTATGGTAAACGATGATTACGGGAATAAGATGATAGGTTACTGTGTCATGCCAATGCCTGATTCTGAAGCAACTGCAAAGTTCCAGTGTGAAGATGGGGGACACAGAACTGAATGTGAATGCCTTGATCAGGGTTCTATCAGATGCGTTAGACAACATGTAATGGAAGCGAGAGAGAAACTAAGAGAGAATCTTGGCCAAGAAATATTCAGGGAGATGGGTCTCTGTGATATGGGGGAGGAAGTTGCTAAAAGATGGACTGAAGAGGAAGAACTGGCATTTTATAATGTTGTCCTCTCCAACCCTGTGTCAATGGGTAAGAATTTCTGGGATCATCTTTCTGCTGTTCTCCCTTCCCGTGCAAAGGAGGACTTCATTCGTTATTATTTTAATGTCTTTATGCTCAGAAAACGGGCTCAGCAGAACCGCAATGACCCCTTAAATGTTAATAGTGATGATGATGAGTGGCAGACTACTGAATATGGAATTCAAGCAGAGGATGACAACTCTGTCGTGGAATCTCCAATTGGTCAAGGAAACGCCGCACATTTTGGACACAGCCATGAGCAAGATGGTCACGAGGACATTGAAGATGACGATGTGGAGGGGGTTGGTTCTTCTGAAAATGTTGTTGGTGACATCTGTAGTGCTGCAACCAATGAAGAAGACAAGGGAGAAAGTTTCATTAGTAATTATAATAGCAATGACTTTCAGCTCGAGTAAGATTCAGGGGAATAATGAAGATGATTATGATATTCAGGATGACCTGTGCACATTATACGGGTATCAGAGGGAGAAGGTTGAATGTTGCGGCTTGCCTGAGGCAGTGGCAGATGCAAATCAACCCAGTCAAGACTGATATAGATTCAGGGTCAGACACTATAAATGGGTTGACAAAAGGAACTCCTGGAGAACAGGATTCTTGCAATCATAGCACTTGGATGTCAATACCATAGTTGAGGACTTGCATTTTCTTTATCCTGCAATGGTAGAATGAGATTGCTTATATCCAAGAAATTCTGAAAAATTCAGGGCTGGCGATGGTTTAATATCACCTGTCAAATTCAAGCTGGTTTTGTTTGAGTTTTCCAAGGTTTGGTGGGATAGCATGGATCATCATTGCGATTGAAAAGCCGCTGTTCAAAATAAATGTTAAGTAACCGGTTAGAACATCTGCATGTTAGAGTCGTGTTGCATAGTGATGCTTCCCAGGAGGCTAGCATCCATCGGAGCATATGGAACTCTCATTGAATTTTGCATGTCCTCTTCGGTAAGGATCATCAAAATTCGATTTGATTTAAAAATTAATTAATTAATTTTTAAATTTTGAGTTATTCAAGCTATTTAAAATAGTTTGAATTAGTTTGTGTTTTTTCTTTTTCTTCAATTTATCTTTTATGTTAAGTTTATTTTTAATTAAATTTGAATCATATGCTTTTAAACTATTATAATTTTTTTTTTATTTTTAAAAAAGTCATTTTTAATCAAAATTGAATTGAATGCTCCTCTAAAATTATACAATGTTTATGTAATTTTTAGTAATAAACTTTGGAGATTATTTCTTTCTACTAGTTCCATGATTTTTTTATATTCTTGCTAACGTTTTGTTTCAAATTCCTTTTAGAAAAACAATATTATATTTATATTTTATAATTTTAAATGGTATTTGTTTTAATAAATAATATTATAAATTTTATTTATACATGTGAAAAAATATGAAAGAATATAGGTATATCTCTTATATGGTTGGAGAAAAAATGTTTAAAATAAAATTAAATTAGATCATAATATCATAAATAACTTTAATAAAATTTAGATAAAATTTTAAAAAATATTGATTTGATTCAATTTTTTTAAAATAAGATTTAAATATAAGATACTATTCGTTAATTCAAAAGCAAATCAATTGTATATGCTTTTTTGGTCTCTAATAAATCATTATCTTTTTTGTTTCACAAGGATGAGTGTGTTGGAAATAATATGCATGATGGAGTGAGGATTGCCAGCATCAAAATGGATTGTAAGAGGGATTTTATCTCTTTGATTTTTCTTTTTGATTTGCAAGTCTTTTGATCTTATTATCAGCAGATTTTAGTTTAGTTCTTGGTGTAGGGTTTTATGGTTGTGCAAACATTTACAAGTAATGAGAATCAATTTGTGATCCAATTACACTTCAAATGATTCTAGAAATAGCTTTTGGAGAATGTAGGTGGTATAAATTGATTTCCAATGTTTGATTGAACGTTCCCTTTCAACATTTCAATGGAGTGGAATCGCATTGTGTCTTCTGATGGAGATAGAGTGGTGTCTGAAGGTGGATCGTGGGTAGAATTTGTTGACAATCTTAGTATGAGAGTGTATAGAAGTGTATTATGGGATCGTTTTAGCCTTTATGGTAAGGTGATTAAAGTTTTTATTCCGTTTGTTAATAGAAGATCCAACTATAAGGACAAGACGTTTGCCTTTGTGCACTTTGCGAGCAAGGAGGATTTGGTTAATGCTAAGGAGAAGATGAACAACGTCCTCGTTGATGGGAGGAGAATATTGGTGTCATATGTGAAATATCAGAGGAGTAGTTTTCCGAGTAACTTGAAGTGCGATAGTATCGTAGAGGCTGGAGGTATAGGTGTAGAGATATCGAAAAGGAAAAATGCAACTAGCCAAGTGGTTGAGGCAAAGAAGAAGGAGATGATGAACAGGTTCCATAATGGCAGGACATATAAGGATACGATAGTAGGTTTGAAAAAAGTTGAGGGTCAGCAATCCAGAAACCTTGGTGACAAGAGAGAGGAGAAGAAGCCTTTGGATTTCTTCATTCCAATGGAGGAAAGATCATGGTTGAGGTCGTCTTTAACAGGTATCGTTAAAGCGATATTTGAGGTTGAATTTGTGCAAAGGGCATTGAGAAGAGAGGGAATCAATGTCAAGGTAGTTAGATGAGGATATTTGAAAAATGCATATTTGATAGTATTCCAGTATGTGGAGGAGAAAGAAGCAACAATGGAAGATAAGTGGAAGGCTTTGTCCTTTTGGTTTGAACGGTTGGAGTCTGTGATAGAAGAGAAGGGTGTTTTATTACCTTATTGTGCAGTATCAATGATGGGCGTTCCGTTAAACTGTTGGTCAGTTTCATTTTTTATCAGTTTGGCATCGAGATGGGGTAAATTAGTGAAGATTCAAGAGTAGACAGCTCAAAGAGTTGATTGCAGGGTGGCTTAGATGTTATTAAGGGTTGAAAGCCCGTTTGACATCCCTCCACATATCATCATTAACACTTATGGAAGGTCCTTTACTATCAAGATTAAGGTAGACAACAGCGATGATTTCTTCCCTGAGCTTGAAGATGGGGTTGATAATGATGGGGTTGATGAAGATGGTTCTGAAAGAGGAACAGTGGATCCTTGGGAGGAGGTTTCGACGGATGGGAGCAAAGGGGAGGATCGAGGAGGTTTGCAAGGGCAGTTGAATTTCAAGCAGATGTCAGACTCTAGGAATAGGGCTGAAGAGTGGGTTCGAGGTACTTCACAGGGGGGTGGTTCAATGAACGAGAGAAATTTGAAAAAAAACGCTGATGCCAATGACAGTTTAAATGTTGACCTTTGTACCGAGGGGACAATACTAGGTGAAGGTCTCAGCAAGCTGACTGTGACAGGGGCTTTTTCTTATGGGAGGAAAATGGTGGCCAGCTTAGAGGGAGACACCTCGGGGAAAGATAAAGTGGCCCAAGATGATGGGCTTATTTCCAGCATGGGCAGGATGGAGGTATATGGGCCTGAGCGGGTTAGTCCAACAATAAATAAATATGGGAACAAGAATGAAGCTTTAATATCAACTTGTAACACCCCCAACTCGTATCCAACCCGGATACGAGTCAGAGATATTACTTTGACTTTTAAAACACAACTCTTACAAATAATAGCAAAATACTTGAACTTATATTAAGAAAATACGATAATATACATATGGTAATATAAGTTTACCAAAATATTCATAGCATACACAACTTAACTCTTTAGTTACATGCCAAAATCCATTTTCATAACAAAATGACCTACTGATTAAGTTGCTTCTGATCTGATAGTTGCAGGAGTAATGTTGTCTAGCTGCTTAACCTCGATCGTCTACTTTATCGGATCATATGTGTGAAACACTCACACGCTAAGTCATCGACTTAGTGAGGTAATATAATAATATCAATAAATATAAAGTAATTGCCAAAATGAGATGGGTTGCAATGATAAGATGTATGTAAACAATGCAATAACCAGAACCATGTTTCTTACACATATACTTATCAAATTCACATTCATAAGTTCACCTTATTAAGTTCATTAGCCCATGGTACCATACAGAGAACCTAAGGTATGTGAGTATTGTGAGGTTGTGCACTATGCTGTCACCGCAGCTCGTATAATTGCATCGAAGTGCCACGTAGAATTGCACCGGAGTGCCGCGTAGAATTGCACCGGAATGCCATATAATAATGTCCATAAGGACCACATATCATTCCTTAAGAATCATATACATATACTAGGGATCAAGCATGTGTCTCACAAGACTTCACACATGTTCCAAAGAATATATATATATATCCCGAAGGACCGCGTAGACCCTCTACCCTTGGCATGCCAACTATACCTATAGTTCTCATCTACATAACATGGGCTTTCACAATTCACCTAATTCGTATCACGTAGACATATTATTTTCATACCTTTATCACATAACTCATATAACTTTTTCTTGCATATTCATGTCACATAATGCATATGGTATGAATTCATGTCATGTATCATAATATGAAATACGATCATATATCAAAATATTGAATCTAGACTTATCACAAGTCTAGAACTGAATAGAATACATATTCATGCTATGCATATGCACTCACCTAGATTTCTTTGTCTTTTCCTCGATTGATCCTACTTGTCGATGGTTCCGGAACTCGTTTAGGCTCGATATCTACATAGTAATTCATTGATACTTATCAATATACTAATTAGTATATTCTAAGCTATCATTCTTAGGCTAAAAGAAAAGCCATTTTCATCTTTTAATGGAGGTATGCATCGATGCACTACTCCATGCATCGATGCATAAATCCTATTCGATGTTTGTATTTAATGGGGATGCATCGATGCACTCCTTATGCATCGATGCATTAATTGCATTCGATGTTTGTATTTTAAAAGAGTGCATCGATGCACTTCATGTGCATCGGTACACCTTGAAAATTTTCTGGGATTTATCATCGATGCATCGGTGCACAATGAATGTGCATCGATGCACATTGCCCAGAATTGTCATTTTAGCACGAAAATCTCTTCTTAGTCTACTTAACACTTTATATTTCCCCTCTTTATATAGCCTTAACTTGCATACTCTTACTTAAACTAATTATTATCCATTCCATACTTTTAAAACTTAGAAATCCAATTCTCCTTGTAGAGTTTAAGAATCTAACCCAAATTCCAACATGTTCTAATTTGAATTCTAACACCTCATACTTCTTATTTAGTTTTATGACAAGTCAAAACCCACTTCTAATTATTATTAGAAACTCTAATCCAAGATTTCACTTTTCTACTTCCTTTCTTTAATCCTTCATAACTCACCAATCTTTGAGTTTCTATAATATTTTCCATCTCCATAATCTTTCCTAAAGCTTCATAAATCAAACCCATACTTTAATTTAAAGGATTAACCAAAAGAAATCAAACTTACCTTAGGTTTGGGTGCTTCACGTTGAAGAAGAAAATGAAGAAGAAATAAGAATCAAGAGTTGTCTGGAAACTCTTGTTTCTTTCCCTTGGGTATTATAATACCAAATATATAATATTTAATTATTACTTTTACTCAATGACCCTTTTACCCTTTTAATTCTCATTCACTTATTAATTCATCCTACACCAAATATTTTAATCAATTCCTTCAACTTTCAATTTATCAACTTTGATCACTAAATTATAAAATTTCACAATTTAATCACTAACCCAGTATGGAGGATGTTATAAATCTCCCTCCCTTAAGAAAATTCGTCCTCGAATTTTCATTGTACGAACAGATGGGGATACTGAAGTCGCATCTCTTCTTCACGTTCCCACGTGGCTTCTTCTACTTTGTGATTTCTCCAAAGAACCTTGACCAACGGAATTGTCTTACTCCTTAACTGTTTGACTTCATAAGATAATATTCTCACTGGTTCTTCTTCATATGTCAGATCCGATTGGACTTTTACTTGTTATGGTGCAACTATATGAGAGGGATCGGACCTATACCTTCGCAACATGGACACGTGAAATACATTATGAATTTTCTCTATCTCCGGTGGCAAAAATAATTGATATGCCACTGGTCATATCCTCTTAACAACTTCATATGGCCCGATGAATCTAGGACTTAACTTTCTTTTTCGACCAAATCGTAAGACTTTCTTCCAGGGAGATACTTTCAGAAACACTTTATCTCTAACCTCAAATTCAATCTCTTTTCTTTTAAGATCAGAATAGGACTTTTGTCGATCAAATGCCACTTTGAGGTCATGCTGAATTTCACGCACTTTGTCTTCCACATCTTGAATTAAATCTGGACCAAGTACACTTCGATCTTTGAGCTCATACCAGTTTAATGGAGTACGACATTTCCTCCCATATAACGCCTCATAAGGTGCCATTTTAATACTGGATTGATAACTATTGTTGTAAGCAAACTCTGTCAGCGGTAAATACTTTTCCCATGATCCTTTGAATTCCATTACGCATGCTCTCAACATATCTTCCAATATTTGAATAGTTCTCTCTGATTGCCCATCCGTCTGAGGGTGAAAGGCCGTACTAAAGTTTAAACGAGTTCCCAACGCTCCATGCAAAGATTTCCAGAATCTAGAAGTGAATCGAGGGTCTCGATCAGAGACTATGGAAACATGCACTCCATGTAATCTAATAATTTCTCTAATATACAGTTCAACGTACTTTTCCATAGAGAAATCTGTTCTAACCGGAAGGAAATGCGCTGACTTAGTCAACCGATCAACAATTACCCATATTGATTCTCTTTTGTTCGGAGTTAAGGGTAACCCCGAAACAAAATCCATCGTAACATTATCCCACTTCCATTGAGGAATAGAAAGGGGTTGTAATAATCCAGACGAAACTTGGTGCTTTGCTTTGACTTGTTGACATATCAAACACTTAGACACAAATTCGGTGATGCTTCGTTTCATCCCTGGCCACCAAAATCGATCCTTCAAATCCATATACATCTTGGTTCCACCCGGGTGCATCGTTAATGGACTACAATAAGCCTCTGTCAATATTTCTTTCTTCAAGTCTTCATTGTCGGGTATCACAATTCTTCCTTTACAATATAGATTTCCATATGACTTAACCTCAAAATCCCTAATCTCTTTATTCTTTACTTGCTCTATTCTTTTCAAACACATTTCGCCTTTACTTTGTAATTCTCCAATTCGTTCCAACCATTCCGGTTTAAACCTTAGTTTCGCACATAGACCACCGTCTCCAGTTAAAGATAATCTTGCGTCTATAGCTCGTAAGGCTGCAAACGTTTTCCTGCTCAAGGCATCAGCTACCACGTTAGCCTTTCCGAGGTGATAATCAATTATCACATCATAATCTTTTAAGAATTCAACCCATCTCCTTTACCTCAAATTAAGTTCTTTCTGAGTCATTAAATACTTCAAGCTCTTATGATCTGTATACAAGTAACAACGCTCTCCATAAAGATAATGACGCCAAATCTTGAGAGCGAACACTACAGCAGCCATTTCTAAATCATGGGTGGGGTAATTCTTTTCACGTGGTTTCAACTATCTCGATGCATACGCTACCACTTTCCCTTCTTGTATTAACACACACCCTAACCCATTATAGGACGCGTCACTGAACACTATGAAATTCTTGCCAGTTTCAGGTTGAACTAATACAGGAGCTTCTGTCAGAATTCCCTTTAAAACTTCAAAACTTTATTGACATTCAGAAGTCCAACTAAATGATACGTTCTTTCTCATTAGCTTTGTTAGAGGCAGTACAATTATCAAAAAATTCTTAACGAATATTCGATAATAACCGGCAAGTCCATGGAAACTCCGAACTTCAGACACATTCTTAGGAACTTCCCAATCTATTATAGCTTTAATCTTTTGAGGGTCCACCCTAATCTCGTCTGCGGAGATCATATGCCCCAAGAAAATTGCTTTATTTAACCAAAACTCACATTTGGACAATTTGGCATACAACTTCTTATCTCTTAAAATTTGCAAGACGATCCTCAGATGTGCGTTATGCTCTTCATGGGATTTCGAGTACACCAATATGTCATCAATAAAGACAACAACAAACTGGTCCAAGTAGGGCTAAAAAATCCTGTTCATGAGATCCATGAAAGCAGCAGGTGCATTCGTTACTTCGAATGGCATTACGATGAATTAATAATGACCATATCTTGTCCTGAAAGCCATCTTCGGAATGTCTTTCTCCTGAATCTTCAATTGGTGATAACCGGAACGTAAGTCAATCTTTGAGAATACCAAAGCTCCTTTTAACTGATCAAATAAATCTTCAATGAGTGGGAGAGGATACTTATTCTTTATTGTCACCTTATTGAGCTGTCGATAGTCAATGCAGAGACGCATTGATCCATCTTTCTTCTTGACAAATAACACCGGAGCTCCCCAAGGCGACACACTTGGTCGAATAAATTCCTTCTCTAACAGCTCTTGCAACTAATTCTTTAACTCTTGCAATTCCTTCGGAGCTATCCGATAAGGTGTCATTGCAATTGGAGTGGTTCCCGACATTATTTCAATTTGAAATTCTACCTCTCTATCTGGAGGTAATCCTGGCAACTCAGCAGGAAAAACATCAGAGAATTCTCGAACTATTGGAATCTCATTTAATCATTTCTCTTTAGTTCTGACATCTATCACATTAGCAAGAAAACCTTGACATCCTTGCAACAGTAGCTTCTTGGCAGACATCACGGATATTATATTTGCAAAAGGATTAAACTTTTCACTACTCACACTTATCTCTGATCCTCCTGGACTTTTCAGGGTTACCCTTTTCGATATGCAATTAACATCTCCATAGTAAAGGAACAACCAATCCATTCCCAGAATCACTTCAAACTCATCAAAGTGTAATTCCATCAGATTAGCAGGGAATTCAATTCCCTGAATCTTTATGGGACACCCTTTACAGACTTTGTTCACCCGAGCACTATGGCCTAAAGGATTAGTTACTATAATCTCATTACTCGTAGCATCTAAGGGGATCCTCAATTCATTTACTAATTTACTTGTAATGTAAGAATAATTAGAGCCTGGATCAATCAGTACCAATACTAATTTATCGTATAGTTGAAAAGTGCATGCTATAATATCAGGGTCATCACGGTCTTCACTTGTCTTTAGATTGTACACCCGTGCAGTTGACTAAACTTTAGGTTGAGCAAAGGATTCAAACTGGTTCCTTCTTCTGCCTCTTCCTCGTCCTCTTTGTGAGGCAGAACCAACTCTTTCAGATGGTTCAGGCTCACCAACCATCAATGGACAATCTCAGATAAAATGTTCGATATCTCCGCATCGAAAACAGGTTTCAGAAGCCATCCGACAAGCCCCAAAATGGTTTTCCCACAATACTGACACTGTCTCGCTTGACTCGGAGTAGATCTCCCAACACCAGATCACACTGACTGCGTCTGTCTAGGTCTTGCCTGACTTGCTCCCCTAGCAGATGATGCAACTGATTCTGATCTAGCTTGTGATCGAAATCCTGAGTCTCTTTCTCTTTTTTATGGTGCTGAGCTAGAAGAAGCACCAGTTCTCTTTGATGTCTGAACTCTAAAATCCTTGAATATCTCATTCTGAGCTCTTTCAATAGCCTTGGCACGATTGATCACCTCTTGGAACGAGGACAAATTCAATACTATCAACATCTCTTTCAATCTAGGGCGTAAGCCCTCCATAAACCATTCACAAGCCTCTTTTTCAGTAGACACAAGCTCAGATGCAAACCTACTCAACTTGTTGAACTCACATTCATACTCATATACAGAACGGTTCATCTGTTTCAAATTCAAAAACTCCAGCTTTATTTGCCGAATAAACTGATCTCCAATATACTTGTTTTTAAATTCTTCAATAAACAAATACCAAGTCAACTGGTCGTTTGACATCCTCATGGTGACGTTCGTCCACCATATCCTCGTCTGACCCCTCAATAAAGATACAGCTCCATCTAACTTCTCCACTTCGGAACAGTGGAGACCATCTAGCATGATTTTCAAATCATTCAACCAAAGATCCGCTGACACTGGACCTTCTCAGCTTCTCCCTTAAATTCGGGAGCTCCTAAACCTCTCAACTCTTTTGCTATATTCATTCTTTGAGTTGGTGGAACAGAAGGTTGAAGACGCGTCAGAATAGCGTCTAACGTTCTGAAGAACGTATCTTGATCTTGCACAGGCACTCCTTGAGATGCATGTTCTTCACCTTGCCTGGCCAGGGCAGGTGAATTACTGCTTTCAACAGGCCTATCTTCTCCCGCTTCACTTCGGGAGCTATTATGTCCGGACATCTAATAAAATAAACATATTGTTCTATTAGCAAAACAACATACTCATACTATACCAGATCAGAAGTTCTCACTATTTGTTGGCATGTATCCCATTTAAAGACTCTATAGACTCTGGTTTATGCCTAGAATCGGCTAAACCATAGCTCTGATACCATTAAATATAACACCCCCAACCCGTATCCAACCCGGATACGAGTCAGAGATATTACATTGACTTTCAAAACACAACTCTTACAAATAATAGCAAAATACTTGAACTTATATTAAGAAAATACGATAATATACATATGGTAATATAAGTTTACCAAAATATTTAGAGCATACACAACTTAACTCTTTAGTTACATGCCAACATCCATTTTCATAACAAAATGACCTACTGATTAAGTTGCTTCTGATCTGATAGTTGCAGGAGTAATGTTGTCCAGCTGCTTAACCTCGATCGTCTACTTTATCGGATCCTACGTGTGAAACACTCACACGCTAAGTCATCGACTTAGTGAGACAATATAATAATATCAATAAATATCAAGTAATTGCCAAAATGAGATGGGTTGCAATGATAAGATGTATGTAAACAATGCAATAACTAGAACCATGTTTCTTACACATATACTTATCAAATTCACATTCATAAGTTCACCTTATTAAGTTCATTAGCCCATGCTACCATACAGAGAACCTAAGGCATGTGAGTATTGTGAGGTTGTGCACTATGCTGTCACCACAGCTCGTATAATTGCACCGAAGTGCCACGTAGAATTACACCGGAGTGCCGTGTAGAATTGCACCGGAGTGCCATATAATAATATCCATAAGGACCACATATCATTCCTTAAGAATCATATACATATACTAGGGATCAAGCATGTGTCTCACAAGACTTCACACATGTTCCAAAGAATATATATATATCCCGAAGGACCGCATAGACCCTCTACCCTTGGCATGCCAACTATACCTATAGTTCTCGTCTACATAACATGGGCTTTCACAATTCACCTAATTTGTATCACGTAGACATATTATTTTCATACATTTATCACATAACTCATATAACTTTTTCTTGCATATTCATGTCACATAATGCATATGGTATGAATTCATGTCATGTATCATAATATGAAATACGATCATGTATCAAAATATTGAATCTAGACTTATCACAAGTCTAGAACTGAATAGAATACATATTCATGCTATGCATATGCACTCACCTAGATTTTTTTGTCTTTCCCTCGATTGATCCTACTTGTCGATGGTTCCGGAACTCGTTTAGGCTCGATATCTACATAGTAATTCATTGATACTTATCAGTATATTAATTAGTATAGTCTAAGTTATCATTATTAGGCTAAAAGAAAAGCCATTTTCATCTTTTAATGGAGGTATGCATCCATGCACTACACCATGCATCGATGCATAAATCCTATTTGATGTTTGTATTTAATGGGGATGCATCGATGCACTCCTTATGCATCGATGCATTAATTGCATTCGATGTTTGTATTTTAAAAGAGTGCATCGATGCACTTCATGTGCATCGGTACACCTTGAAAAATTTATGGGATTTATCATCGATGCATCGGTGCACAATGAATATGCATCGATGCACATTTCCCAGAATTGTCATTTTAGCACGAAAATCTCTTCTTAGTCTACTTAACACTTTATATTTCCCCTCTTTATATATCCTTAACTTGCATACTCTTACTTAAACTAATTATTATCCATTTCATACTTTTAAAACTTAGAAATCCAATTCTCCATGTAGAGTTTAAGAATCTAACCCAAATTCCAACATGTTCTAATTTGAATTCTAACACCTCATACTTCTTATTTAGCTTTATGACAAGTCAAAACCCACTTCTAATTCTTATTAGAAACTCTAATCCAAGATTTCACTTTTCTATTTCCTTTCTGTAATCCTTCATAACTCACCAATCTTTGAGTTTCTATAATATTTTCCATCTCCATAATCTTTCCTAAAGCTTCATAAATCAAACCCATACTTTAATTTGAAGGATTAACCAAAAGAAATCAAACTTACCTTAGGTTTGGGTGCTTCACGTTGAAGAAGAAAATGAAGAAGAAAGAAGAATCAAGAGTTGTCTGGAAACTCTTGTTTCTTTCCCTTGGGTATTGTAATACCAAATATCTAATATTTAATTATTACTTTTGCTCAATGACCCTTTTTCCCTTTTAATTCTCATTCACTTATTAATTCATCCTACATAAAATATTTTAATCAATTCCTTCAACTTTCAATTTATCAACTTTGATCGCTAAATTATAAAATTTCACAATTTAATCACTAACCCAGTACGGAGGATGTTACAAATTACACAGGTTGAAAATGGTATGCAATATGGGTCTGTGCCATTGTCCCAACAGCGGCCTTCTGGGAGGAGTGCATCGGTTAGTAATGTTGTTAGAGGCTTTCATAACATAGTTTATGTTAGGAGGTGGGATGCTAAAAGTTGTGGTGGTAAGGATGATGTTATTGGAGCAGGAGATGAGAAACATGTGAGGACAGAAGCAAGGGAGTGTTGGAAAGTATCCAAGTGTTGGGGGTAAAGTTTAAAGGAGGATAAAAAGATTTCGTGACCAAAGTTGCTCCTTTGGTGAATAATAGAGATGATTGAGGAGAGGTAGTTGGTTCAGGGGTTATGGTCATAAAATGAATTTGATGGTAGAATGGTCCATTATGTGTTGGAATGTTAGGGGTCTGGGTAAGAAGGTTAAAGCTTGAGCTATTCGGAGATTTGTTGAGGAGAGAAAACCGACTATCTTATTTCTTCAAGAATCCAAATTAGAAGCTGTTAGTACTATGTTAGGAAGGAAAATGGGAGGGAAAATCCTTAATGGTTTGGTTGTTGTGCAGGCTTTAGGTTCAGCTGGTGGACTAATAACAATGTGGAATCAGAAAGTATTTATGGTTAAGGAAAAAGTCATCCAGACTAGATTTGTGGCATTAAAGGGATGGATGGATGGATGGTATACTAAACATTTGTTGTTTCATAAATGTCTATGGTCCAAGTGTGGAGGCTGATAAAGAGCCGTTGAGAATTAACTTCATTTCTGGAACAGGTTGACTGTCTAGTGTGCTTAGGTGGAGATTTCAATGCCCTTTTGACTCAGGAAGAGAAAATGGGTGGCACTGTGAATTTGGTTTCGATGAATACTTTTCGAGATTTTGTTTCTAAGTCAAATTTAATTGATTTGCCTTTAGTGGGAGGTCAGTTCACGTGGTGTAATAATAGGGAAGTTCTCACTTTTGAGAGATTGGATCGGTTTTTAGTTGATCATAGTTTTTTCTCGCAATTCCCAAAGATCAGCCAAACTTTGCAGCCTCGGTCCATTTCTGATCACAACATTATTCTGTTGGAGAATAGGGAATGTAATTGGGGGCCGAAGCCGTTTAGACTGTTTAATTATATGTTGGAGGAGGAAGGGTTTAGCGACTTGTTGACAAAAGAGCTGCTCAAACTGGGTGCACAGGAAAACTTGATGTCCATTTCAAAAACACTTAACCGGGTGAAAGATGTGGCAAAAAATTGGTCTGGTAAGGGTTATCTTCAATTACCAGGTAAAATCAGAACGTTGGAGTCTACGATCCATGATATGGAAATGAAATTACAACAAGGGTATTCCTTGGTGTCAATGAATTCTATTGTTGAAGCAAAGAGAGATTTATGGGAGCTACAAAAGAAGGAATAATCAATTTGGGTGCAAAAGTCTAGATTGAAATTGAGATTGGAGGGTGATAAGAACACAAAGTTTTTCCATCACAGTGCAGGAATTAGAGGGAGGATAAATTGTATTAAATCCCTCAAAGTTGATGGTGAAGTTATAGAAGATCCTAGGTCAGTTAAAGCTTCAGTGATGGAGTTCTTCAAGAGGTTGTATAATCATAAAAACACCCTGGAGGCAGAGGACTTAAATCTGGATTTTCTTAAGCTCTCGGAAGGCCAGTGTTTAGCATTGGAGAAATTTTTTTCTGAAGAGGAAGTTTGGGAAGCTATTGGTCATTCGGATATCAACAAAGCTCCAGGTCCAGATGGTCTGAACTTAGGGTTTTTTAAGAAGTTCTAGAATATTTTGAAGGATGATATTATGCGATTTTTTAGGGATTTCTATGTGGGGAAGGAGTGGGAGCCGGAGGTGAATTTTTCCTTCATTTCTCTTATTCCAAAGAAGGCAAATCTGGAGGGGTTGGAAGAGTTTAGGCCAATCAGCCTAGTGGGAGATCTATATAAAGTTATTTCTAAGGTCTTAGCTAGAAGGCTGAGTTTGTGTATTAATGATATTATGAGTCTTTCCCAATTTGCTTTTATTCCAGGGAGGAACATCTTGGACTGCTCTTTTATTGCAAATGAGAGTATTGATTTTTGGAGAAAAATAAGGCTGAAGGGAGCAGTCTTCAAGGTGGATTTTAAGAGAGCTTATAACTCGGTGGATTGGAAAATTTTGATACAAATAATGAGCAAAATGGGGTTTGGTGATAAGTGGAGGTCGTGGATGTACCAATACATGTCAACTGCTGAGATTTCAGTTTTAGTAAATGAGTCTCATACGGAGAAATTTCATACATCCAGGGGTCTGAGACAAGGATGTTCGCTTTCACCTATGCTTTTCAACTTGGCTGCTGAGTTTTTGTATTTGTTGTTAACTAAAGCAGTGGATTTGGGACTGTTTTCGGGATTTGATTTAGGAGTGCAGGACCGAGCATTCAAGCTGTCACATCTTCAATTTGCGATGATCTTATAATTTTCAGTAAAGGCTCTATTCGTTAGTTGAGGAATGTTAGAAGAGTGTTACTTATTTATGAGCTTCTGGTGGGGTTGAAGTTAAATCTAGGCAAAAGCATGATTTTTGGAGTAAATGATGAAGATGGGGAGTTCACTACTTGGGCAGAAGTTATTGGCTGCTCGGTTGGATATCTTCCATCTGAATATTTAGGACTGCCTCTGGGGTATAAGAGGAATTCGACTACTATGTAGGATCCTATAGTGGCGAGATTTCATGCTAAATTGAGTGGTTGGATAGCTAATTCTTTGTTGATAGCGGGAAGGGTGGTATTGGTCAAATCGGTGCTTTGCTCTCTACCGATCTATTTTCTTTTTATGTTCAAAATTCCAGTTGTTGTGCTACTTAAACTTAACTCTATCATGGCTTCATTTCGGTTGACAAGAAAAAAATCCATTGGGTCAACTGGAAGTCGGTTACTAAACCAAAAAAACTGGGGTGTCTAGGGATCCCTAATCTAGCTCTAATGAGCCGAGCCTTACTAGGGAAATGGATATGGAAGTTTACTTCTGAAAAGAAGTCTTGGTGGAAGAGAGTGGTTTGTGTTGTTTACAATCTGGATCCGAATTCCATTATTATGGGGAATTCTTGGCCAGCTCGTTCATCGTGGATTTGGAAATGTGTGGTGAAAAACTTCTTTAACAGTGATGATTTTAGAGATTATCTTAGAAGGAATATGCGTTTGAAGGCAGGAAATGGGGAAGCTATGGAGTTTTTGAATGATGTATGGTTGGGTGATGTTCCCTTGAAAATTTCGTTTCCTAGACTTTATGTTCTATCAAATAATAAAGCGGGTAAAGTGATGGAGTTTATGGTGAATAATACCTCGGGTTGGGTGTGGGACATCCAAATGAGAAGGAATTTGGCTGACTGGGAAATTGAACAGTGGCTGCAGTTGATCATTATGTTGAATAATACCTCCATTTTTCCTGCGGAAGATGATTGTTGGATTTGGTTAGCGAATGGTGAAGGAATTTTCACAACAAAGTCTTGTATAAACTCTTTCTTTGACCAAGGTGGTTTTGAGCAGAATCATGTGAATTGGGAAAATAATATTTAGACAGGGTTAGCTCCTCCAAGGGTGGAAATGTTTGTTTGGCAATTGGTGCAGCAAAGAGTACCTGTTAAAAATGAGTTAGCAAAGAGAGGTGTTGTAGAGATTGTTGATAAGCTTTGTGTTTTGTGTGGTCGGGAGGTGGAATCAGTTTCCCATTTATTTCTGCATTGTAGGGTTGTGTGGGGTCTGTGGTCTTCCTTCTTGAAAATGTGGGATGTGTCATTAATGATTCCAAAGTGTTCCATGGATTTTTTAATTTTGTGGGATGATTTTATGACTAACTCTTTGATTTGGAAATTCATTCCTAGGGCAATGATGTGGTCAGTTTGGAAATGTAGAAATGAGATTATCTTTCATAAAGTAAAGCTGGATTTGGTCAGATTATATTTCTTTGTAAGATTTAGAGTGGCTTCCTGGTTTAGTGCTCGTTTTAAGGATGTGGGTTTTCCTTTAGATTCTCTAGTAGGTGATTTGAAACTTGTTGATTCGGCAGGCAGATCAGGAAGGGGTTGCTCTCGATTAGCTTGCTGGGTTCCTCCACCGGATGGGTTTCTAAAGTTAAACGTTGATGGAGCGATGGTTTTGGGGTGGGAAAAAGGTAGTATTGGTGGTCTGATTCGGAATAGCAGAGGACTATTGCTACAGTGGTTCTCTGAATCAGTAGGGGGTGGTCCTCCTATCTTGGCAGAGTTTTTGGCAATTAAAAGAGGGATTTGTCTTATGGAGGAGTTGGATTTGGTCCCAAATCAGAGATTTATCGTGGAATCAGACTCATCTATCGCTCTGAAGTGGATCCAGAATCCGGGTTTAAGCCCCCCTTTGCATCTATCCTTGGTGAAGGATATAGTTTCGCTTTTGACTGGAAAAGATATTATATTTAGGCATATTTTGAGGGCGGAAAACTGGGAAGCTAACAAACTAGCTAAAGATTGGATAGGGTGATTTTTTGATTATTTGATCGTGTTGATTAGCAGGAGTGTATTTTCCTATTTGTTAGGTGGTTTGTTTTAAGTTTTATGTTCTTCAGTAGAAAGTCTAGGAGTTTGTTCAGTCTTTGTAATTTGGCTCTTGTGAATAAAAGTTTCTTGGCACTCTTTTCCTCCTTTTTTCCTTCATGTTACCTTCATAACATGGCAGGGCTTGAAGGAGGTTTTTAATGAGGCCTACTTTCTATCAAAAAAAAAAACTAATAGCATTGGATATAGACTCAAATTCATAGCATGGTCATGATGCTTATAGGACAACTTCCATGTCTCTTCTTCCTCCCAACCATTTCTAAGACCATCGGTCCATAGCTGTAGACATATTTACGAGAAACATGTTGCACTTCCGAGCTGGAAACCATAATTTAGACACATCAGAGATGTTGGGACAAAAACTCTCCGTCCAAAACCATGTTATGAGTTTTTTTTGTCAAACTGAAACATCTTTGAGTTACTCATATAAAAGTTTGATCCTTTAAAACGATCAGATAATGATATGGTACTCTCGAATATAATCCGAGTAAGGGTCCAAGCTATAAAAGAAAATCTTATAAAACTTTATATTTTTGAGTTTGATCAAATAGGGATATAATATTTTCGAATCTGCTCAAAATCAGAACTTTCATTTGAACATCAAATACCAGATCTTTATTTAAATTTATAACATTTTTGGTTTTTTTAAGACAGTGTTAAGGATTCAACAAACATGTAAATTTATTATTCTTGAGTGATATAATTGAATCGTATCGCAATACGATAAAAGATTCATCTCATTACCTTAACAATAATAGCTAATATTGTTATCAATTTAGACATTAGAACATTATAATTGTGTTTAGACGTTGATGGACCTTTCAATTCTGGGATTTACCAGTAGGCTCTCCCTTTGGTTTCTAGCAAATCTCTTGCTGTTAAGATATTTATCCCATATTTTGGGGACTAATGTCTCTCGGGTACCTTTTTTCTCTCATTTTCCATATGATTTTCGTGTATATCAACCTGCAGCACCTTTGGAAATGATCTTTAACCAATAAGTCACTGGCTAGAAGTGATTTCCAGTAACTGCATTGTGCTGGCTGGACTGGTACTCTTCACTTTGTTGATTGGAAACATCCAAGTTACTACAAAACGAAATGTTAACACTGAAAGAAGAAATAAAGAATAAAAAAATTTCTGTGTTGTAACCAGAGCCTCAGTAAAGGCCACATGACCATCTAGAGTGAATGCAGACGATGCTGCGAGTCTTTGGTCATTTTGTATTGCAATTTTGATCATTATTTTAATAAATTAAATATCGTTTTATATATCATGTATACTAAAAACTAAAAATCATATACACAAAAGTTGCTAATAAATAAATTATAATATACTGACCTTAAAATCTTCATTTACATCACAAAGATCATAAACCCGAATTTACAATATCTGTTTTCTGTACATTTATGATAAAATCTATTTTATTTATTGATTTAATTTATTTATTCATTCATTTGTTTTTACTTTCTTATTCATTGGTGTCCACCGTCCCCTGTTCATCATCTGTTAAACTTGATGAAGGTTATGCAGGTTCAGAAGCAGAGATCCTTCACCAACCAAAATCTAACACAAAAAACACTTGGATTAGAATCACAAATGACCATTTTCATTCAAATCTTCTAAAAGAACAAATTGCCAAGCCAGAAAAATGCAGCAAAAGAAGGCAACCTGTTCTGATTATCTGCAGAAGGAAAACAAAATAAAGTGTAACCGGAGTTGGAACATTTTCACCTGTATTATTTCCTTCATCAAGTATTTGATTCCCTCCTTTGACTGAAACAAGGCTGTTCACGTACACAAGTGTCGCGAACGACTTCGGAACCCCATAAATTGGAAGATCCTTGAGTTCTTGGGTGTTAAGGTTGTAAGAAACTACCAATCCGTCAGAGCCTTCCATGAGGATCTCATCATTTTTCCAAAATGCCAAAGGCATTTCCACTTTCATAAGAGGTCCAATTGTCATTATATTTGTCCAAGATTCCCTCACTCCATATTCCTTCATCACGTATATCTCAAACGATTTTTTGGTCCCCTTCCTCGGATAAACTACTAGAGCGATGCATCCCTTCCACACAAAAAGACTCCTGCATATTGAATAATCATACAAGGAGAGGGCATTTGGCATCGGTATTACTTGGAATGCTTCGTTTCCCATGTGGAATGAAAGGATGACCTCGTTTCGGTTATTGTCAATGGCATACCAATGAAACGCTCCATTAAAGTATGTCTCAAAACATGGAGAGTACCACACATGGGCGGGGACCTGAATATCGATCTCTTTCCAAGAACCAGTTGCCAAAGAATATACTTCGACCCTGGAATGTTGGGGTAAGTCACTCCCACTTCGCTCCTCCCAGTACGAAACAATCCTAACAACTTTGCAATGATGAGTTTTAGCATCATAACCAAATCCTAAGGCACTGGTTTGTGGGATCAAATTTGATCTTGGCGAATAACAAGGGAGAGAGGATTCCGGGAGTACCATGGACTCCCTAGTTGCAGGATTACATAGAACTATATCATCTCTGTAATTTGATAGGCAAATAATGCCATCACAATGACCTAGAAGCTGTAAGCACGGCTCCTTCTTATATAAAGACAAATCAACATCTAAATTTACGAAAGAAAAACCGTTGCTGCAGACCAAAGACAATATATTTTCTCTCTCTCCTAAGCACGTTAGAAGGCAGCGCTTGAGAAGGACGCATACATTGTTGTTGCAGTTGTACCTAAGGTGCAATTCGATGAACTTAGGATTGCTAATGAGAGCGTACCAGTATTTGCAAACACATTTACATCGCATCAGAGATTCTACTGGCAATCGTAAGAGGATTTTGAGGAACAACTCTCTTGGCAGATCACCAATGACCTCCATACTCGGCTCTTCTTAGACTTCTCCTTTCCTACAGTCAAACCAAACCCTGCATGAGAACGTAAGTTATCAAAACCCCATGTATATACTGTTGCCGGAACCCTGGTTTTCTGAAACAATATACCGGCATTAATAACCATCTGCCATAAAAAACCACGGAGAACTTTAATATACAGTTTTAGTATAGTAATACTTTTTAGCAGGAATCTTACCAAGTTCAAGTTATTAGCATCAATTTTGCATCAATCAAGAAACCAGTTACCTTGTTAGATTCTTTCCCCTCATCTATGAATTATTAGTATTCTAACCTCGTTGGCCGTTTCTTCGAACTGCCTTCTCTAGGAGTTGGGGCATATACTTAAGCATAGATTCCTGAGAAATCATGTCTCATCAGATTCTTTTCTTTCTTTCAAAAGGCATTTAGGTCAGCATTTTAAACAATCAAGATGCTGGACTTTTGACACTGCTAAATGCAATTCAGGGTTATATTCCAAGGTTCCAATGGATGCCTAAATATGCTTAAAATCCTAAACATAAATTGATACAATATTCGATAATGGCAGCTGAAAGTCCATGTTTAACACTCCATTAGTTAAGCTTAAAATGATATTATGTCCCTTTAATGAAACAGTGAGATTGATTTCAATACCAAATCTGTTCAACACACTACCAAGCTAAGCAATAGAAGAAACCAGAGGCTCTTAAGCATATTTACCTGTATTATCTCCTTCATGAATTTGATTCCCTCCGACTGAAACAAGGATATCCATATAATAAAAACCGTACACAATTTTCCGAACTCGTGAACCTGAAGGTTGTTATGTTTTTGTGTGCTAAGACCGTAGGACACACACCTCCACCATCACCGTCCCCCAAATGTTATCAAAGGAAATTCAAGAGACTCCAAAAATCCTTAATCTTCTCCAACAGATAAATTATATATCCAAATGTTTGATGTTCAATCATGCTTATCGCATGTTTAAAGTATTCAAATCTCTTTCTTATAATAGGTCAGCCAGCCATTGGTTTAATAGATAAATAGGTGAATTGGGCTATTTTAGGATCAGGGCTCTTCTGGTTTTTTTTAATACAGATTTCTTTGAAGGCTGGTTTTCTGGATGACTAGCAATCATGCTGATGCTTCACTCAAAGCATTGTCAGCCGGATATGATTATAAAGCGACAATTCCGGTGATACTAAAGGTTCGGTAGTGGTGGTGGTGAAATATGGTTCTGGAAATCAGCATGTAGTAGTATGAAAAGAGTTTCTCAGTGCCGGACATGATATACTGCACTCATCCAGGATTGTAGGCTAAGAGACAAATTTATAAAATTTTAACAAGACGAATTTATAAATTTTAGAGAAGAAAAATTAATTATCAAAAGAAAATATAAATATTGAAATTATATAAGAATTTAAAATTTTCAATTGACGATTACCATCCTACATGGATGCTTATAAAACAGGCTATAACAATACATCAAAACATTAATAACAAAAACATTACACTCACTAATAAATGTAAAAATCAAAATAGAATAGCTGTTACCATCTTTAAACTTTGTTCTTTTTATAAAAATTGAAGGAGTTTACAGAGAGATTCCAAGATTCTGACCTTATCAATCAAGGAACTCTTTAAAGTAAAGCATCTTAACAAAAAAAAACCAATAAAGTGAAGCCACAGAAATAATTTCCCACTTAATTATTTAATATTAACTTGTCTTATTATTGCCTCCATGTCATGACACGTATTACTGTCATCATCGTGTTTTCCCGACATAATTATAAAAATAGAAGAAATAAACATGTAAATCCTACTTTTGTTTCCTATTTACGGAACTGCAACCACTGATGTCAATTCACCAAAAAGCCCTTGGAAGCATCCCAAATTCTCAAAATCATCCCTTTCCAATTTCTTATCAAATTTATTGCTAATTTTCCCAGCAAACATCAGACTTCTTTTTCTTTTCGTAATAATGCTATTCTTTTTCAACAAATAGAAAACTTTGCTTCTTCATACAATAATAGCCTTTCAAATATATGAATATTCATGAATTAAATATCAATAAATAATAGATTTTTAGAAGAAAGAAATACGGTTAATGAAACTATACCTCAACGGTGCCTCTCCAACAGCACAAGGAAAATTGGGTTTCAAGGATATGTTGAGGGGTGTAGAGGCCAAGGAAGAAAAGACTTAATTGTTGAAGCTTTTACAGGCTAAAGGGAAAGAACCCAGAGAGCAAAAGGGAAGAGTTTGAAGGAAAAGAAGATGAACTGAGAAAGAAAATGGAAGGATGATGATTTACAGTCATGGTTTGGGGAATTTTGAGTTGCAGGTTTGTCATCACATCATTATCTCAATGTGTCCTTTTGGGAAAATTAAGGACTTTGAAAAAGAAAGGATTTATTCTATATTTATGATGTTAAATTAATCTATAGCTTTTGTGTTCGGTTATAATATTTAGTAGTATAAAGTTTTGTCTTCAATATATTCATACATATAAGAATACGATACAATTATGTAGGGTAAACTTTTTAAATTTTATATATATTTAGGATCGGTAAATTAATGGAAATAGATAATTGAAATTAATAATAAAAATAAAAAATATTTAATAAAAAAATTAGTTTTAGTTTTCTATTTTTAAATTATTTAACGATTTTAAATTTATAAAAAATTTAAAAAGTTTTAGGTGCGATTAAATTATATTATATATATATATATATATATATTAATTATGATTTATTTATATTTTTTAATTTTATATACATTTTGTATAACTTATTATATATTTTTATAATTAAATTTAGATAAATCAATATAGTAAATAAGAAAAGGTTTTCGTTGCATGGAAAAATCATTGTGATCTTGTATGTCTTCGTTTCCCTATGATATTTGTTTGTTTGTGCACGTGTAATGTCAGGATTTTGTTACTTCAGAAGTTTTGGTCTTTTAAGGTTACTATACTTATAAATGAGATGAGAAAAATGATAAAGTTATTTAAGTTTGGTTTAGTTAAAATTTGATTAATATTTAAATTAAATAAAGTTAATTTAAAATTTTAATCTCTTAAATTAAGTTATTTGATATATGACAATAAGTTTTTGAGTAATTCAAAAATAATATTGTATAAAATTTAAATTTTTACAATTATAATATTAATAATATTAACATGTTTATTTTTTTAAAATATAATATAAAATTTAGGTTTGAGTTTGAGCTTTAATTAAGTTAAGTTTGAGAATGTTTCGAGTTTAAGTTTTTTCGAGTTTGAATCGAATTTATTTTTTATTATAAGTTCAAATCGAATTAGATAATTTTAAATTCATGAATTTTCAAATCAAATTTAATTTAATTTTAAATTTTTTGAATCAAATCGAACTTAAATAAATGACTGTCCCTTTTTCCCATATATGAGGTAAGGGGAGGTAAGATAGTAGGCTACCCCCAACACAAGTTGAGAGCAACTTCCGTAAAAGACCTCCGAATTATGAAATGCCCTCCGTGGGACTCGATCCCACGACCTCAAGGTTAAGAACCTTGTGCTCTACTAACTGAACTCAAATCGAACTTAACAATACTCTATTATTTACCGTCCTAAAATTACACCTCGGCTTAGGTCTGAATGCAAGACATATATGATTTGCTTCGGACATCGTATATCCTATCTTGAAGCGAGGAATTAGTTTGGCTTGGGGTAGTGAGTCGGTTCTGAAAAGATGACCTCCCAATCCCATCCTAAACTTTATAATATTATATAACGCCGAATCATGAATAGAAATACCTTAAATACCTTACACCTGCACTGCATCTCTAATTTATTTTTTAATAATATGTAGAGATTATAAACTTAATATTTATTTACTTTTTTTAATTATTGGTAACATCCATCTTATAAATATAATTATTTAAACTTGATTTTTTGAAACAGGATAAAATTTTCTTTTAATAATGTGATTACTCAATAAGTTTGCAAGGAACAATTCTGGAACACACTCAGAACAACATTTAGAATATTTCACAGTATACGTCCAGAGCTTTCGTCTCCTTGTTTTTGTTTTCTCATTGCATGAGGGACGACGGCATGCAACTTATTATGAAGAATTACACAAACACACTCGGGAATCAGGATACATTGAACTATTAGAGAAAATCAATTACAGTTAAAAGGGAACATGTACAGTGTGGATCTCCACGGCTTGAAAAAATCCGACTGGCAGAGCCATGAGAAAATTTTCCGGCTTCACTCTGAAAGTTGTTTTATAGCTAGAGGAGGGTAGCTAATCAAGCATCTCGGGATCCGGCTCACCCGACATCATTCTCGGTATCACTCCTGCAGGAAGTAACGATCTCAGCAAACCAAAGAAGTGAATCGCTTGCTGATACTTCTGATTTGTCTGAGCGGGCATTCTGATGAAGATAGCTCACGCAGGATGATGATATGGCAATTAGAGCCTCGGCTGCCACGGAAGCACTAGTGAGTCCCAGAGTCTCATCGACTTCACCATGTAACACGTTGGAAGGCTTCGTAAGGTTGTTTTCAAGAGACTTGTAATCCAAGGTATCCTTAGTTCCCATTTCGCTGTTCATTGGCATCTCCAAGTCTATCTCAGCAATCCTCACATTGGTTCTTACAGAAGATGTTGATCGAATATCTTCTATCCCTTTTTCGGTAACACACAAGTTCAAATCAATGCGTCCAGCATTAGCATTTGGATGATCTGAACTCGTATCTGCAACCAGACCCTCAAATAGACATTGCTGCCCACATTTGATTGACAAAGGCCCTTCAGTCATATCGGAGTTCACACCATCAATTGCAGTTGCAGTATCACTTTTCCGGTGCTTCGGATCATCAACATGAGCTGTTGACAAGGAATCTCGTATTCTCATTTCAATTCTGTCAATAAAATTTATTTCATGAGAAACTTCGACATCTTTGTTAGGTTTCACATTACTAGGTCTTGTGGCCCTTAACCAAGAGAATCCTCCATTTGAGTTCTGCTTTATTGATCCATTAACAGAATCAAAGACAGATCGAGAAATTTCCTCTATCTCATAACCGTGTCTGCAGCTGTTGTGTCTGCATTTAGATCGATTGTGGACTTTGCCTCCATCATCCAAGGTAAAGACTTGAAGCTACTTTTAGGACCACGGTGAGCAAATTCTTCAGAATCAATTTTACTCTCGATGCCATTTTGGCTGCAGAAGCCAATCGGTGGACTGCAAGCTCGTGGTTTCTTGCAATTAAATGCAGAGAGAAAGTCATTTTGGGCCAATCCCTCGGCTAGAGAACTTGGAAGAGATATTGAATTGCTATCACCAAGCAATTTGCCCCTGGTAATGTCATGGTCCTGCAGCAAGGCTGTTGAACTCAGCTGGCCATAGGTCCAAGAGCGATTATGGCTCGAGTTACCATTAAATTTAGCCCGACTTGAGACAGAGAGTATCTCAGAATGGGCTGCATCTGACCAAGAATGAACCGACAGCTGATCAAGTCCATGTGATGTAACAGTAGAAACACCATTACCGTTTTCAGGTATTTCTATGCCAAAAATTTTCCGTTTTCCAAACATTCCTCTCTTATTCTCATTAAATGAAAGAAACATTGCAGGCCGGGCCTCGGTAGTTTCAACTTGTACCGATTTGTGTGGGGCTTGCAAATCTTCAGGATGAAAACTTCCATTGCTTCTAGGTTGTCCTGAAAGAGAGTGGCATATTAAAGGATGTAAATACTTGTAATAGATAAAAAATGAGCATCAGAATAGTCATCAAAACATATCTACATTACCATTTTCAAATTTATTAGAGAACCCTCCCCCATTTTGCCTGCTTCCAACCTCCAAATCTGGATTAATAAGACTAATCCATCTCTCCCTTGCTTTACCGGGTTCTGGGAAAACTTCTACACCCCTTTGGTTGAAGGCTAGAAGCAGCTGCGACATAGACAATAGATCCTTCCTTTGGACCTCCTTTTTTGAGCAACTAACGTTAGTCGGAATACCAACACAAGCTGAACTAGATGATTCCTCAACCGGAATAGGTTCATTCAAATCGGTGAAACCACGAGTTCTCTTTAATTTTAAATCAAAACTAGTAGCTTCACCATTAGAGCTATAATTGCTATCATAGAGCATTGATAAGTTTCCATTCCTCTCACCAGAAACCTCGTAACTCCCTTTTGCAGACACTCCTCGAGCTCCACCTTCATTGTTAATATATTCCCCGGCTGGAGATTCAAGTTCAAATAATCTAGTCCGAACCTTGTTGGGCTGGGATTCCAAACTTTCACAGTTTTTTGACTTTAAGCCATTCTTAGTCAAACAGCAACTAGATTTTGGTGCATTTCCTTTAAAGGAACTAAACTGAGAGTGGATGCCATTTGCATCGGATGTAAATAGCCTAAAACAATTCAATTCTGAACAATGTGACTCTGAAGTTTGCCACCTCTTTCGTTTATCTTCCGTCTTAGAGCCACATGAAAACGGATTTGAGTGTGATGTAGCCTGAGGAATCAAATATTTTTCTCCTCCTTTGCTCTTGATTTCATTCATCAAATCCCGTTGTATTCCGTAAAGACGATGGAGTTCATGAAGCTGGATAAAAAATTTCAAGCATCAGAAAACTGCATTCCAAAACAAGTTTAAAGGCTTCCCACAGAAAAACATCATTGCCCAACAGAGTTAATCGAGGCCATACCTGATGCCTGAATACCGAATCATGTTCCAGGATAGTTTTCCTTATTTGTTCCTTGTCATATCCCATTGCCAGCCTCAGTAAGAAATCACTGTATGGCCCTGAGTTCATGTTTTCGCAAGGTAAAGGCCAGCCAACATTGCCAGAATTGCATTTTAGATTCGTCAAAGAATAGTATCCGGGAAGCAGCATGTTAAAACGTACTTCAGTTTCCATTCCTTCAAGTAGCATAAGAGTGGCATTGGATTACAAGGCAGAAATGATTCAATCTAAAAGATATTCTGTGTGTATTAAACGAGTATTTCCAGCATATTCACTGGTGTAATCAATGTTGTTAATGATCGAAACAACCAAAATAAATGTTTGCATGAGGCCTAAAATATAGTGATTCAGATTGCAGACGATTTGTTGGTAATAAGATAATTTAGAACCATCCAACCAGCATATACAGTCGTCATCCAACTTCACTATTCAAGATCTCGGTTACCAGTACTCATCGTTTTTCTTAAAATTATCCGCATCAGACATATCGGAAAGAGACATGCGGTATGATCCTCGAAATACATGGAAATTTTTTAAAAAATTGAGTTTATTCGTGTCATACGCATTCGAGTATCTTACACTCACTCTTACAATAAAATACACAAAAACCAATTTCTGCAGATCTATGTTATTCAAATTCTTTGTTTCTAAATATAACGGGAAAAAATTAGGAAAAACTTGAGCAAATTGATATTGTATTCGACGCTCATTCTAAATCCGGATAACATAGATGCAGATTCTGAAGTAAAAACTCTAAAGATCCAAAGTTCCTCAGACAAATAAAAACAAGCACTAGGTAACAAAACTCAAGCATTTCTCCACAATGTCCAGGGGAAGGGTGGGAGATAGAATTAAATTAGATTTTTTCCCTCAGAATATTTTAAATGCTAGAATCAAGAATGAGAAATGCAGCTTTAAACTAGTTAGGCTACCAACAAAGCCAGATATACTGAATAAACAGAAGCAATCATCCACCATGAAAATTTAAAAAAAATAGAAAAACGAAAGAAAATTACCTCATAATTATATTATTTGTCACCCCTCTTATGAGAAGCTGATCTAAAAAAACCCACCAAATTATCCAGAAAATGAACCAAAATTTCAAACAAACAGAAAAGAGGAAAATCTCATATCATGTTCACTCTAGAACAACAACAAAAAGAAGAAAAGAAAATTTTCAGATAAGAAATTTTCTCCAAATAACAAATAATGTAAAGGCTTTTCTCCCTTCATTTTTCCCTTTTTCTGGTTTGTATATTTTGCTTTTGTGAAAATGTGTATAATATCTGCCAGATTCCATGCTTTTTGGGTACACAGTGTTTTATATAGTTCAGACACCTGGATTTACTGAAGCAACAATCTCCCCATCAGTTTCCAAATCTAGGCTTAAGCTGATCCCACCATTTCTTTCTTTTTACACTTTGGTCAATCTTCATTTTGGTCCTTCTATTATATTTAAATGTGAGTTTTGGTTTCTAAACTTTAATGTGTTATAATTTGATTTAATTACTTTTATAATATCATTAGTTAATCCAAATAGTTACATATTCAGCTATTTTAATTAAATTCATGGCATTTCCCCTTAAAATACCATTTTCAACTCATTATGTTTACATATATTTCTTTTATGTTAGAAAATTGTTTTAAAGGAAAATTCAAATTAGTGTTTTAAATGGAATATTTGAAAGTCTATTAACTATTGAGACTATTTTTGTTTTTATAAAAGCCTATTTTTACAAAGTAAAAACTAATTACAGCATGAATATTCTAGCATAATAGTGGATTAAAATCCAATTTTGACCTTTCAACAACATTCTGAAAAAATTGAAACACATCATTAATTAAATTGTTCTTATTAAAGGTAAATTACACGTTTAATATCTAAATTATCACTTTGTTTTGTTTTAGTATCTAGACTTTATTTTTCTAAAATCATACCTAACGTTTAGTTTAAATTACAATTTGATTCCACGTTGTCAAAAACTTAATATTGATTTTGATCATTAGCTCAATGATTAAGTGTCTTGCATCTTATGCATGTGTCCTATGTTTAATTCACATTAACAGTAAGAATGATTTATTTCATTTTATCCTCATACATGGTGACACGTGGTACTACCTAGTTAGTTGAATAAAATTAATTAAAAAATGTTGACAGAGAAATAGAAATGTGAAGTGGAAATTAAAAAAATAATAAAAAATTGACATGTCATGCCACGTCAGTATTACCATTAATTTTTTAACGTTGGGGTACCAAATTGAATATTAAAATAAACGTTAAATATGATTTTGAAAAAAATAAAATTTAGGAACAATTTAACTAGTGCTTTGTTTTGTTGTGCAACGTTCACCGTAGACTCATCCAAACCATTAATATTACTACAAATAATTATTTGGTTAATATAATTCTTTTTTTAAAAATAAAACTTCAAATTCCTTATAACGTTAAAAAGATAGAAGTATAATAATTAAAATAGCTATTTTTTACTAATTCATTATTTTAAAATTTTACTTAATTGCGTAATATCTAACTTTAAATTATTAAAAATGGATCTTATACTTTAAAAAATAATATATTTATTCATTCGAGACTACAATATTATTTTTTTATATTACATTATATTTTATATAAATAAATAGGATATTTATGAAAAATATTTAAAAATATAAGTTCGGTATATTAATTATATGTTAAATATATTTTTCAAAGGTTAGATAATGTAACAACTAAAATAATTTTATGAATTTTCATTTAAATATTTATAATTTAATAATAAAGTTTATATTGTTGAAAAAACATATATCACAAGGATAATTTGAAAAAATATGCATTTAAATATTTTTAAATTTATTCAATCAAATATTATAATTTTACATTACTAATAAATAGATCAAACAAAGTAATACAACGTTCACATAGTAATGTTATATTTTAATAATCTTATTCCTAAAATAATTTTACATTATGTGAGCCAAAGACGGAAATCCCTATATTTAGATTTGAAGACGCATTTGTTTTGGTTGAACGGGAGTACAAAGATTTTTTTAAGAAGATGATAAAATTTTAAAATTACTTTTATATCCTACTTTTAAAAATATAAAACAAATTATTAAACATTTAAATTTAAACGTTTAATTTATTTAATATTTAAATTTATAAAAATCTAAATTATTATTGAAAATTTGAGGCGGCCAAGAACCTTGCAAACTTCATTTATTTTAGTCCGTGCTTATAATATAAAAATTTATCTTGATGTAAAAAGTTGAATTTGAAATTAAATTCATTTCGAAGAAATGTTTAACTTCCAAATTTAACCGGAGCCTAACATAGCATAATAAGTGACTAAACTTTGCCTTTAGTACTTAAGATTTTTTTTAAAAAAAATAGGTGTTTAACGTTTTTTTTATTATACTTTTCGGTGTCCATCATTATATTTTTTAATTTTCTTATTTTTTTAAAATAAAAATATTATTTTTTAAAAGAAAAAATTAAAAAAAGTTTAATTTATAAAAATAAGTTCCTATATATATAATTTAATTATTATTATTTATAAATTTAAGGCTTAATATAAAAATAAGTGTCTAAACTTTTTCTCAAAAAACGTTTTAGTACTTAAGAAATTTTTGTTAAAAATAGGTCTCCGTTAAACTTTTCGGTGTCCACCATTATATTTTTTATTTTTCTTAATTTTTTAAATAAAAATATTGTTTTTAAAGAAAAAAGAAAAAAAAGTTTAATTTATTTATATAAAGAACTCCAAAGTTTTTTAAAATTACAAAATAACTCCAAAACCCTAAATCCTAAAATCTAAAATTCACTAATTTTCAGTCACCGCCGACATGACATTTCCGTCCACCATCTCCATCGCTGCAATGTCATCTCCGTTGGGATTTCAACAACGACGGCGGTGTGGTTCACGATCGTCGGGATCGGTCATAATCGTAGAAAAAAATGGCTGATGGTTGAGTTTTCACCAACGCTTTCTCAACGGCGAACGATAGCGCTGCTCAATGAGTAGACATATGGGTTTTCCTCGGCGTGATACGAAGCTCTCACTAATGGAAGCAGTGACGGTCACGGCTGGCCTGACAAGGGTTCGACAGTGAGGGACAACAAATGATTTCTTATTGTTTTGTGACTATCGGCTGTTGATTTGGGTGATTATTGGTCGAGGTTGGGCTCACGAGACACCAACGAAGCTGTTGGTGGTGGTGGTGCACACCAACAACGAACCTCCATTGTTGTCGTCGTTATTCTGTTATGGGGAAAGGGGAAGGGAGAATGAGAGGGGAGATTGGGATTGAGATTTTTTTGTTTTTTTTAAATATAATTTAAAATGTTAAATGTTAAATAAAATTGTCAAAATTATCATAGCATGACACGTGTCTTTTAACAACATAATTTAACAACAGTTATGGCCCGGACACATAAAATGGTTACGGTTATAACCTTAGACACTTATTTTTAACAAAAATTTCTTTAAACACTAAAACGATTTTTGAGATAAAATTTAATTATTTAATTTTGTATTAAGCCTAATTTTAAAAGTTATTTAAAATATCATCGTCACATTAGTCCAGTTAATAATTAACTAAACATACACATATTTGGTAATTGTGGCAGTCAAAATATATTTGGTAAAAAATGCGCGATTCACTAAAAAGAAAACTTTGCAGAAGAAAAAGTAACTTCTTATTATCTTTTCCACCTCACCGCAGTGAAAAATCAGATAAAGGAGAACATATTTTCAGAGTTGCATTCTCTTTTCCAAATTTGGACGGTAACCACCTACCTTTTTTAATTATATTTTCGGGGAACATTGGATCCGACACCAGTCAATGGATTTATTTAAATATCAAATTATTGGAGCTGACATATATTTTTCGTGAATGTGCATGTGATCGTTCAATCAGTTCGGATTGAGGTTATTAAATCGGATATAATTGAGGAATTCATTTGAATGGATTCAATTGAACTTTTAGAGGTCGAATTACTTCTCAGTGGATTATAATGATTGAGACCTGCTTTTTAGTTCAGTTATATGGAGTCTATGAATTCGATGAAATAAAACTTTGTTTGATTTGGAGTTTATGGAGGTAGATAATGTCTTGCAGAGTGGAAGGAGGTTGCATACGGAGGTTGTGCATGCACTTGCATTGACTAGCGCATGGAAGGTAGGCTGTCAAGTATGAGTTAATCGCTCTCTCTCATATGGAAGTCTCCACCGACTGGGTGGTGTAAGCTGAACACTGTTGGTGCACGGAAGCTTATTTCTAGGTTAACAGCGTGTGATGGTGTACTACGAGACTATAATGGAGGATGGATAACGGGATTCACAAAAATTATTGGATGTTGCTTAGTCCTTGATGCGGAACTCTATGGTGTGAATGAATGAAAGATTAGGTGTTGCATGGAGATGAAGATGAGGGTTGTCATTGTGGAGACCCATAGTAAGGAAGTTATGTCCTTACTAGGCCAGAACGAGGCAATGGAGGGTGTCTCTCCCATGATTCTACGTATTATTGAATTGTTGAAACGTGGTTGGAGATTGAAGTTCACTTGTGTGTCTCGAAAAAGTAATAAGGTTGTAGATGGAATGACTAAGCTGACATGAAATCTATCGTTCGATGCTCAAACATTTCAAAGTCAACCTGTTGAGATTTGAGGTGCTACAAGATAATGATAGTGCCTAACATTATGTAATTTACACATTTAGTATCCCAATTTTTTTTTCATTTTGGTCACTCAACTGTTATTTTTCAAAATCATACCTAACATTGTGTTTTTGTTTTATTTTAGTCTTTCACCATTAAAAAAATAGAAATCCTGTCGCGGCATATTTAAAAATTTTCAATGGTGATGTGACATTACTTTATTATGTCATGTCAACATTACAGTTAATTTTTTAACAGTGGGTGATCAAAACGTAATATTAGGTATGATTTTAAAACATAAAATAGTTAAGTGACTAAAACGAAACAAAAGTGATAGTTAAAGTATTAAACGTATAGTTTACCTTAAATAAAAAAATAAACTCTAAATTGTGGCTTAAAGAAGCTCCAAAACTT